TTCTTCCTCATCTTATTCTTCAAAACAACAAGATGAATTTCAAGCTGATCATCCATGTGATTGCGGTTTACCATCTCGTGTGAAGATTTCAAGAACTCCTGACAACCATGGAAGAAAATTTAGAGTTCGTTAAAACTCGATGGTAAATCAATATTGTTGAATATGTTGCAGGAGTTCTTGAAATCTTCACACGAGATGGTAAACCGCAATCGATAATCAGCTTGAAATTCATCTTGTCATTTTGAAGAATAAGATGAGGAAGAAGAAGCCATCATCGATCGATCTAGGGTTTAGAATTAGGGGTGGAATCGTATGACACAGTTATAGTGTAATCGAATGAAGACAAAATATGCACCATGCCACGTAGGTGTAACGTATTCAAGTCATATGCCAGGTGGATGTCACATAAGCAAAAACATGTGATAGTCGGTCATATTACCTAAATGTGAACAAACAAAACAAGTTAGTTACCTTAATGTGTATAAAAAAAGAACATTACCTATATATGGACAATTTAAATAGTTAGTTACCTTAATAAGTCATTTTCCCATATATGCACCATGCCACGTAATGCCAGGTGGATGCCACATAAGCAAAAACAGGTGATAGCCGGTCATATTACCTAAATGTGAACAAACAAAACAAGTTAGTTACCTTAATGCGTACAAAAAAAAGAACATTACCTATATATGGACAATTGAAATAGTTAGTTACCTTAATAAGTCATTTTCCCAATCTTTTACGTAATATCTTGTCTTTAAAGATCAATGGTAGATTATATACCCTAAGTAACTTAGCGATGAATATCTATTTGATTTGGAGTAACAAATTAGTATTCCACGAAATAGCCCCATTAATGAGACATAATTCATATTTCCCTTACTATTTTACAAAGTATATTTAGACTCTTAACATGCAAAAACTGGTGGCAGAACTTTGAAGGTATTATGTATACAAGCTTAATAGTTTTTTGTACTTATTAAATTTGAATGGTGTTTTGTGAATGGTTTTAATATTTTTTTACCCTCTTAAGTCATTTACCCACCTTAAATTTTTTAATGAATATATTTGGACCCTAACCTACAACAACCAGTGACCATAAGGTCATTTTTGAACAAACACTAATCTCGGATGGCATTATGTATTCCTCATAAGTTATTTTTCATATTATATATTGAAAGTAGGTTGCTTTGATAAGTAAATATTTAAGTACGATGTTACAATTGGGAAGAGATTTGAAAAAGGTTGTTATTATCATTGTTTTCTAACGATGTTAATCATACAAGGACTACATGTGATATATTTATAAATGTAACCTCCCAAAAATAGAGTAAAATTTTCATTTTTAAATATACTAAAACCATTCAAATACCATTTCCTCAAAAGATAATCAGAGTAATAAGTTATTGTTTCAAAACATCATAGTGAAAATCATAAAAGCAAATAGTGCGGAATCTCTAGTAGATGCAATGCAATCAAGTCTGGCTCTTACCCTTACTATAAGAAGTACCTGAAATATTTAATCTTAAAACCATAAACTTAAAGCTTAGTGAGTTCCCCAAAATACCACATATCATACAAGTAACAACGTATTTTAGCCAATCGGTATGTTTCAACCCAACTCTCTATTTCAACCAACGACTTATTTTAGTTAACGAGTATGCTTCAACCCAACAGTCTATTTCAACTAATGGCATATTTCAGCCATGTGAATGTTATGATCCAACAATAGTCTTACAGTCACTTCAATTGCTACACCCCAGTTGTAGTCTTTCCTGTTATGATTCAACCATGGTCTTTAATGCAAGTCACAAAGCCAAACAACATACAATGACATTTAGTGTCCTATATAGTATAATGAGAAGACTTACCTAAACTAAACCACAGAAGCTCAACAGCAACCTCAAAAACAAAACAGCAAATCCAAGCTACCTAATGCCCAACACTAGCCCTTAGTCAAATAATCAATTCTACCAAAGCTTGACCAAAATTCAAACTGGTCAAAAAGTCAATGGTCAAAGGTTAAAGTCCACGGTTGACCCACCGCATCGTGGCCAACTGTTTGAGAGAACATCATGGATCATGGTTATTTGCATCCATCGAACAATACAAAAATACGAAATGAAATAGATACTTTTATTTTTTGAAAACAGGAAATTACATACCCCTTAGTCTAAGGCACATGAATTTCGAAAGTATAGAACAAGCCATAACTGCAGGTAAATTAGAAAGTACTACAGTATGAAAGATAGACTGCAAACCCATGATTGTTCTAAGAGTATGCCTTCCAGTTGCTTAGTTCCCTGAGAATAGATGTGTTTTGAAAGAGTTTTAACTTAAAGTTAGCGAGTTTTTAGGTTTGTAAAGTTTAAATCCAAAATATATTTTATACCAAAAGTATATGTGTTACGTATATAAGTAGTTACCTAGTGTGTGTGTATACATGTTATTAATGTTTACTGTGAGTTCCTATAACCGAGATATTGACGAAATGATATGCCCCTCCCGACATTTCATCAAACGTAGTAATAGTATAGACAATTATTCGCTCGCTTGACTCGACCATCCATGTTGTAGCTAGCAACTACATGCGGGGGTGTCAACCCATATAGATCTATACATATTTTTCTCGCTCTCAAAGATTAATGGTTATAAGTCAAGGGTGTTCCTAAGTATTTGGTACTTAGATGATAGATATACCTAACAAATTATTGATGTTGTACCAGTTGTAAGCCCTATCTTTAAATGTCAAAGTTTTAGGGCGAAGTTTCTATTGGAAGTCTCAAATATTGTAAGTCTCAAATCGATCCAACTGCTCACGTCAATCTTGATCCGATGGTAGGGACGTGACGATGAGACTTGATCCTATCCTACCTAAACGATAGGTATTTTGTGAAATTCAAGTGGTGTCAATTATGTCTATTAAATCAAATGCTAGATGATTGCATGACTCGAGAAATACTAAATTTAGTTTATGAGAGATCACATAGTTGAACCCACGAACGACTTGAAGGTTCAAGTTCGGGCATAAATTTGTTTATAGTTATGTTTTGTCACCTTGTAAAGGGTTAATTCATCGTGAAATAGAAAAGTTAGGTTTTGGATCAAATACTAAATCATAATCCGATTCGTAATATATAAATGTCTTTTTGTGACCAACCTCTCAAATAACCTCATGAATCATTCGAATGTAATTTAACATAAAAGACTAATGTAGTACCAGTTGATCTTATCCTCAACAGCTCTGACTTTTTTGGAAAAAAAAGTTATGAACGTGATAAATTTCTAAATTGAATAAGATTTAAGTGAAATTGACCAGGGATGAAAATTAATCATTTAAGATGTAGTACAACTCGTTTGAAGTTTCATTATTACGACAAGAGGTTGTGTGATGTTGTTTATTGTCCGTTTTTATAACATTTCAAAGATTATGATAGAAAAAAAATTATTTTTATTAAAAACATTTTCATAAAAACATTTATATAACTTCATATAATTAAGTTTAAACAATTTTATTATAAAACAACTAAAAACAATTATCAAAATTAAGTTTAAAATATAAAATATGGGACAAATACCATAAAAGCTACTATATTTTCACACATTTTTTAGAAAAGCCCTATTATTTTTTATTTTTTTTGCTCTAGCCACAAATTTGATATAAAGTTACCACTCTAACCCATTTAACGATTTTCATGGTTAACTTTGTTAAATTTTTTGCAAAATCAGTCCTAAAAGTTCAATTTTGATCCTTGTAGTTTGCAAAATTTTACACATGTCCAAAACTCGGTTTTATGTTTTTTAATTTCTTTATTTTCATTTATTTTTTTATTTTTTAATCAAAGCTAAATTTGCTTTTATATTTTTTAATTTTTTTTATTTTTCGTTCTTATTTCCTTTTTTTAACTTCTTTTTTTTGTTTTTATATTCATTTATTTTTCATATTTTTTTATAATTTTTTTCGTTTTTTTTTTTTTTTTGTTTTTTCTTTATTTTCGTTTTTTCATTTGTTTTAGAAAACCAAAAAAACTCAAACACAAAAAATGTAATATACTCTAATATATTCATACACTTTACACTTTCTAAAAAATTATCAAATTGACGAAAAACAAAACATAACAAAAATACGAAAAAAAACAAAAAAAATACGAAACATATACGAAAAATATAAAATTATATATTCATACACTTTAAAATTTTTGATAAATATCAAAAGAATTTTTCAAATTGAAGAAAAACAAAACATAAATTTATTTTATCAAAAATAAAGAAAAACGAAAAAAAAGAAAAAAAAACATATATATATATATATATAGTATGAAAAATAAATGAATATAAAAAAAGAAAAAAAAGAAGTTAAAAAATAAAAATATATATATAAAAAACCAAAAACAAAAGAACAAAAAAATATAAAAAAAAATATTATAAAATATATAAAAGCAAGTTTAGCTTTGATTAAAAAAATAAATATATAAATAAATAAAAATAAAGAAGTTAAAAAACATAAAACTGAGTTTTGAACATGTTGTGTAAATTTTTGCAAACTACAGGGACCTAATTTGAACTTTTATGACTGATTTTGAAAAAAAAAATAACAGAGTTAACCATGAAAATCGTTAAATGAGCTAGAGTGGTAACTTTATATCCAATTTGTGGCTAGAGCCAATAAAAAAAAATAATAAAACTTTTCTCAAAAAACATGTGAAAATATGGTGGTTTTTATGATATTTATCTTATAAAATATTTCTATTATTACATTTTGTTTTATGTCATAATATTTTGTTTTCCTAAATTTTGAATTTTCTTTTTTGATTTTTCTTATTTTGTTATGTATCTTTTAATGTTTTTTATTGCTACATATTATGCTCAAAAATAAGTAAATTTTTTTTTTCAAATACCCATGATTTTAGATGTATACTTATGTGACTACAACTCTAATACAAATTACGATGATACCGTCATAACAAATAGAAAACAACACTTGTCAGATACTATGAAAATAAACGAAAGTAATTCAAAAGTCGATATATTAAACACATATGTTGGATATTTTATTTAATGCATTCGTACAATTCACCTTATTTTTCCCTCAAAACATCAACGTAGCTCTTAAATAGTAACAAAGCCATAAATTTTACATAAGAGGGACGAGTTTTATTAATTATGAATAGTGTAGGGGGCACCGGCGAACTTAGCCAATTTTAGGAGTTCGAATGACGACCCCACTAGAGTTCACCCACACCCACACACGGTCGCACCGGAAATCCCTAGTCGTCGGAGTTCCGTCAAGTAACACAATCGCATCGACACGTGGATTCTCTTTCTCAATCTTCTTCGCCGCAGCGTCTCCGGTCGCCCCCACCAGCTCCGGCCATGAACTCTTTCCTGTGTATCCGGTATCCAATATCCAAACAGTGTTTAGTTCGTCTTCACTTTTCACACCCATTCATTATATAAAAATACGCTCAAATCATATGAAATCAAAATAAAATTAAAGTTAAAATAGAATCCATTTACCTTCGCAATCCGACATTGTTAGATGAGTAGTGAAGACATGAACTCGAATACGAGGTATAAATAGAGGTAAAGGCTTTGAAGAAGTGATGAGGTAGAAATCGTACCTTGTGCAATATGAGTTGTACCCTTTTGTTTTTTTAACATTTCCCATTTTAAGTAGGCAGAATTCAAAATTGTAATGACTCGTTGAATTGTTGAAATTTGAAAACCATGACAAAACGGCCATTTTTGTTGACTTTCTAAATTGGGACATTCGGATAGTCCTTATCTTTTTAAGTAACAATGAATAAGTTAATCATAATTTTACAATTATAGTAATAATCTGAAGTTGATTGATCTATATAAGATATAAAAGACTTCACTTCACTCAAGAAAGACTTTAGATTCCCTATCAAAAAGAAAGCATTTGTGTACAAATGTCATAATCATCCTATGTATGACAGAAGCCTGATACTAAGATATGGAGAACACTGGATAAAACAAACAAAAATGACTATCTTTTCTTTTAAAGAATATACAAACTAAAAATACATTTTTTTAATCGTATAAACAAACATACAGCTGAATGGAACACTAAACAAGATAAAGGCTTTCATAACTTGGTTCCAACTTTTTCTTGATGCAAAATTCATGAATCTCCACTTCTTTTGTGTTGATTCTTGACAAATTAAGCGTTTCCACATGCATCTGAAAGCATTAATTAATTAATGTGTCAAGTGGTTTTTCAGTAGATACTATTCGACATGTAATCTTTGGTATAATATAAATGTTGTATGATCATACCTTGATCTTGTTGAAGGATTGACATCTTGAAGCAACAAATTGGCATCTTCTTCTATGTTGTATGATCAAATTGAAACCTACTCCTCCTCAAATCATGTAGATGATGAGCTATTTCTTGAATAAATTCTAATCCCTCATTACTTTGAAGGGTAAGGGTATTACACGCATGCTCAATAAAACTGTTATCAGCCTCAAGTGCTTTCAACCTGTCATTAAGTTCCAAAATTTCAGCCTCAAGGGTACTAACGTCAAATCCATTCGACATATGTCTCCCGTTTTCATCTTCCTTTTTTACCCTTTCTACATTACCATTCGACATAAACTTTTTCTCTAACTCCGATAAACTCTGTAAAATGTATTTTTTCTCATCTTCAAGCCCTAAAGCAGGAGACTTTGAGTTCCCATTTTTTATATGATTTTGGGTTTGGGTGTTGTTGTTCACCATTAACTCATCTTCATATCGGCTTCTGAAATACTCCAACTCAGCTTCCAAATCTTGAATTTCTTTATCTTTATCAGCAATCAGATCATTAGCCTTGTCTAGAGCTTCCATATCATACTCTGCTTGTTCATCCATCATTCTCAGATACTGCAAAGCCTCCATATGCAAAGATGATTTCTCTTCCTGCAACCTTGTGATCATGGCCATGGCCTCATCTGCTGCTATGGCTGCAGCATTTCTTTCTTCCTCTAGTTCCTTATGTAATAAATGCAACCGTTGTTGGTCACCCTCCACCTGTCGTTTTAGCTTTTCCACAACACCTTCACCCTTATATTCACTAACATTGCTTGCATCCGGAGATTCATATCCATCTGACTCATGATCAACAACTTTATCCGATTTTAATGATTTGTCATGAATAGAACCGTTTTCTTTCACATCATCAGTATCCACATCTTGTCCCCTTGATGTTATAGAAATAGCCCTACACTTGTTTTCTTCAAGTGAAACATCAGATCTCAAAGATGAAGGTTTCGTTCGAACCACGGAATCCCCTTTTCTAACACTAGATTCATCCCCGGAAATGGAATCACCTTTTCTAACAGAGACATCATCCCTGGAATCCCCTTTTTTGACAAAACATTCATCCCTGGAATCCCCTTTTCTAACAGAAGAATCGTCTCTGGAATCTGGTTTTCTTTCAAGAACTTCAGGTTTCGAAGTGTCATCCTCTTCATAAAATGAAAACTCAGAGTCGGAATCGGAATTCAACCTATAATCAGCACAACCGAAATCAGATAAAGCATCCAAGTCCAGATCAGTGTCCACACTGAGAGTATCTTCAACATGGCAAGGAGTGGAAGCTCCTGAAATTCTATCACCATCCCTCTTGAAAACATTCCGGCGACGATAGCGGCTGTGGCCTGCAATCCTTGGCAATGGTGGTTTCATGGTGACTGTGGGACCACCATCCAATGGAGCTGGACCTGGTTGGATTAATCTTCTGGAACTTGGTTTTCCATTCCAATGTCTTTTACAACATGAACATGTTCCTGAATTTGAAGGCCCACGAACAAGGTTCCGGTTCAGAAACGGCTTTTGAAACCCTTTGATTCCCATTTTACCCTTGGAAGATCCATGGTTACACTGGTTTCGGTTCATTATTGACATGAAACAATCATCACATAGTTCACGGACATCCACAAGCTTCTCATGAAGGTCACAAGATATCAAACATGAAATCTCTGCTCGATGATGATAGCAGAACAAGCTTAGATAGGATCCAGGGTTTTCGTTACTGAAAACATGGTCAAGCCTCATGCAAAACAGGCAAGGCGTTTGTAGTTCACAATGATGAGCGAACTTTGTGAGGATAAAACCCAACGCAGCATCCATAAACATTAGAAACATTAAGAACCATTCGCAGGCAGCCATAGATAAGTTATGCATGAATCCATTTGAGGCAGCCATGCGTGCATTCGGGACCAAAACTTTACCCCCAAAATGGCATGTATTTGATTGAGCACACCAAGGGTAGCTCTTTAATTTGTATGTCTCGAGAGCATAAAACTTCCTCGATGAGATCAATCAAACACCATACAGGAGTCAAGGCTGTAGAAATCGAAGACAAAAGACACAAATCATTATGAAAGCATTTATGAACGATGACTACATCATCGAATCCAAGCCCTTAAATCTTATATTCCGAAATCGAAAGTAACCCTAATTCAGATTGAGCAGTTAATGATTGTTGGTGATCAAACTACAGCTACAATTAATGATTTTGGAAGACAGAATGGAGCAAATTGAAAGAAAAATGAATACCTGGGAAATGCAGGTTGAGGAAGGCGGCAATCGGAGATCAAAGGGACGGCATGTGGGAGGTAAAATAGGAAGAAGGGGTTAATTTGTGCCCTGAATTTAAGCATTTGATTCTTTGAGAGACATGTTCATGCGTGTTTTTTCGTTGATGAATGCAAGTGGTTTTTATACCATCCATCCCCAATTGTGGATTAAATATCCTCTCTCTTATTCATTTCTTCTCCCGAATGTCAAAAAATCAATTCATGCACAAAAAACAAACGCACATGTATATATATCTATATTTCGCCTTTTCACCCTTTTACTTTTAAATTTTAAAGTGATTCTCCTTTTAAAATCATTTGGCATGAAATAACTAGACGAAATTACATAAATGGCCCCTGTAGTTATTAAAAGTTGTAGTAATAATCCCTAGCTAATAATTTTTGTCTTGATGTGATCATCCATGTGGCTGTGGGTTTAGATACTTGCATGATTGGTTACTATGGTTTTATTTTATTGCAGATTAATATGAAATTAGTATTTTACCATTTAATATAATTTATTTAATAATTTTAATTATATAAAATATTGTATATTATAGTTATATATAGTATCCCCACCCTCTTATCTTAATATACCAAACCTTTTAATTATGTTTATCTTTCTCTTTTTTTTTTTTCTTTCTTAGTTCGAGAATCTCCATAAATGATTTTAAAAGGCAATTTTGTTGACATTTCGATACATCAATCGACTTCGAGGCTCCCACCAACCGAAACGATGCACTCTTCGGCTCGCATTAAGTATAGCAATAGCTTTTGGAGACCATACCCCATGAGATAGAAAGTTTTGAAAGTTTTGAATTAAAATACTAATATATATTAAATCATAATCATTTGATATCTAATACAGACTTTAAGCCAAGGTAATATCACTTTACTTCTTCAACTATTAACCATAATACCATATTATATATAAAAAATAACAACATAGACGTTTTAATTTGTCTTAATTAATATTAAAATTTTTAAATAACAAATAAATGCATACTTTGTATATCTTTAAGAAAAAATTAAAGTCGTTACAAAAGTAGTTGTGTGTTTACTTTTTACCAATTAATATCTCTTGCTTTCAAACTTAATTAATAGTGGACGAAATCCACATCTTAAGGCTTAGGTTTAGGCAACTATATGCAGACCCTTCTCTACGTACCTATCCTATAACAATCCCCCACCCCAGCCACGTATGGGATAGTATAAAGATAATATAAAATATAGAAAATTACACAAATGATTCTTATGCTTCGTGCATGTTCTTCAAATGGTTTGTGATACTTAACTGTTTTTTATATTGCATTTTTTGTTCGACAATCCACCCTCTTCCCCCCTCATCCCTTCCATTTTTAAATATGTTTTTAATTACCATCTCACAATAACATTTTATATATATATATATATATATATATATATATATATATATATATATATATATATATATATATATATATATATATATATATATATATATATATATATATATATATCCAAAACCTGTAATAACTCATATGGAATCCATTTTTCAATCTCTATTTCATAAATCATCTATTTGGCTGCTCTCAAACAAACAAATAAATTGATAAAATAATAACAATTAAAAACAGTCACTCCTACCATATACTAAGAGATGGTATAGAAGAAGCAGGGTCGAACCACTAGAATACAGGTCTTAATGTTTAACCATACAGAAATTATATTTTCTTTCTACTTATCATCCTACCCATGTGAAATGGTGACATGTGTCATATTTAGATAAGATTAATGATATTTTAATACATTTGTCATCATTTTAAATAGATAGGAATATATGTAGGAAGAAAAGTAGGAGGCTATTTAATTTCTCTTAACGATATTTTCACATGACATGCTACTATCAATTGTTAAAACACATAAGTATTATCTAGAATTTAGGAATAAAAGACATTTTTAATTCCAAATCATATTGACATAGTATGTTGTAAGATGTAATGTGACATCAACTCATGTTTAATCTAGATTGGTAATTAAGATATTAACATGCTCTAATATCTTCAAATTAACAAAAACATTTTACTAAAAACATTATATTTAAGTACATGCAATTAATACGAACAATGTCCAATAAACGACTTTAAGTCCATGCAATTAATACCAACAATGTCCAATATTCCTCATAGACTCGGGAATATGAACATCTAATCTTTGATTACACTAATTTTGATTCCATTAAAACCAATTAAGTACTTGTCACTACATCAAATCATAAAACATTTATGAATTTCATAATTTGAATAACAAGGATGACAAGAACCTTGATTCCATTGATCAGGTGAAAATGAGTACAAATCAAGCATTTAATGAAGACCAAATCAAAGACTACTAGAGAGAAACATAGAATCAAGTGCAAATTACAATCTAAACAACAAGTACATAGAAATCTACAACCGGAAATGATAAGAAAAGTTAGCCACACATGACTAACATAGAACACAAAGTTAACAAGTTTTGATCTTTAAACAAACTTACAAAATCAAAAACAAGGTGTTTCCAAAGTGCAAAATAATGATAAGATGTGTGAAAATCACCCCTACAAAGTTCTTGGCCAAAGTCCCTTTGAAAATCCCTAGAAAATTCCTTTTAATCAGAAGTTGTAGATTAGAAAAACTGATAGACCCCGTTACACAGGCTCGTGTAATGATGTCTTGCCATTACATGGTTGTGTAACGGCCTGCGTGGGCTCGTGTAATGGCGCCTTCCCAAAGCACGACCCGTGTAATGAATTGAAAAAATGCTCATTTTTCAATTTTCAAAATTCATCAATTTAGCTCCGAAAATTCTGAAACTCCGCATAGAGCTTCCCTCGAACATTCTAAGCATGCTCCAATATTCAAATCACCCTGAAACATCCACAAAAATCATGAAAGGTAGATAAATCCTCGATTTGTCCCGAAAATGCAAAATTACACTAAAATGTCATGCAATGCTATAAGTAAACATGAAATAAATATATAAAAGGTGCAATTTATGCACCTAACATTATCTCGTACAAATGACAATGATATCTAGGAATCAAGTATCTATGCCATACACCTTGAAAACAACATACAATGAACAACTAAACTTAGTATAACCCTAATGAATTTTGAAATTAAGAAATTAGGTTAAGGGTTTACATACCTTTGATTTGTTATAACAAATTTTTTTTGAAGAGCTTGGAAAGCTAGCACCAAAAGAATGATGTCTCTAATGGCTCACCCCCAAACCCCAAGAGATTTTTGACGCTTGAGGAGAGAGAAGAATCCGTTCATAACCCTCTTGGAAGAGAGAACCACAAAAATTGATGCCTAATGGGTCCTATTTATAGTTTAGGTAACTTAGGGACAAAACAAGATTTGAATAATTAAATAATGGATTTAATTCCAATTCAAATCATTTCCTTATTAACATCTAGGAGGCTTCTAAAAACCCTAGAAAAGCTCCCAAAACCGTCCACCATTGGATGGTTCTAGAATTGTCTCCTTTGTTCAACTATTGAGCAATTACAATTCATCCCTTGCATCTTTAAATAGTTCCAATTAATCACAAATTAAATCCATATTAATTATGATTAATAATTAGTTAATTCTAATTGATTTCTCATTAATTTATTAATCATATAAATTAACAAATTAATTATTTTATTAATTGATCTCATATTAATTTATTAATTGCATAATAATTAACAAATCAACTATCTAATTCCAATTAATATATTAATCATATAATACATTAGCAAATCATTTCCTCATAATTTATAATTAGTTTTGTAACATCCTAAAATTAAAAAAAAAATTCATTTTTAAATTAATAAAATTATAATCTAAAACATCATCATAAAACCATGGTGGAATATAGTGTATCAACTACATCATAATGATGGGTTTTGAGCATATCTACATTCATATGTGATCATGCAACCCTAATTGCTTTAGATCTAAGTTTTTCTCTATTGAACATGCAAACATGAACACCAAAGCAATAACCCTAGACTAGCATACACAATTCGAAATTCACACACACACACACATACACACACACACACACATATATATATATATATATATATCAGGGTTAGAAGATTACATCATTTGTTATATTATAATAACAAGAACAATCCTTGCTTGATCTTGGCTTCTGAAAGCCTAGTGCCCCAAGTAGCGCACCTCTAATGGAGTCACAAACAGGATGAGAAGGAGAGACAAGAAATCAGCCAGGGTTCTTCCAAAGACAAGAGTTAGTCTATGTAACATTCCGTTTAAAATAAAATAAATTAAATAAGACAAATAAAATAAAATTATTAAATATACAAATAAGATAAATAAATAAATAAATAATAAGCCCTAAAACCACGAGATAAAATTTATATTTTTATTTTATTTTAGCCATAAATTCGTAATAGTTGATCAGTGTTAGCAATGGGAGTTAAATGTCATAAATTCCAAAATTTGGGGTCTATTTGGTAATATTAGGACTTGAAATGTAAACGATTTTGTGAGGCAAGGGTTGTTTAGTAATTATTGGATTTAGATTGAAAAGAATTGTTGATGTAAGGACCAATTGTGTTAAAATGCGTCCAAGTTTGGTAAAACACGGGAC